GGAACAATGGAACAGAATAGGGAGCCAGAAATAAACCCAAACATATGGTGAAATAATTTTTGATAAGGACACCTAGAGGCCCCAATGGGGAAAGGATAGTCTTTTCAATAAATGGTAGTAGGAAAATTGGTTTTTCACATGCAAAAGAGTGAAACTGGGTCCTTATACACAAAAATCAACTTAAAATGAAAGTTCTAAATTTGAGACCTGAAACCAGAAAACTTGTGGAAAAGAACATAGGAGAGAAGCATCTCAACAGTGGCCTCTGCAGTGATTCTTTTAAATATTACACAAAAAAAACCCAGGCTACAAGAATGAAAGTAATGTTAATGGATTATTAATACATCAAACTTTAGAGCTTCACAACAAAGGAAATAATCAATAAAATTAAAGGTAATCTATGGACTGGAAAAAACATCTTTATACCACATATCTGATGAAGGGTTAATATCCAAAATTTTTAAAGAACTCTTAAAACTCAATAGCAGTTTAAAAAAAAAAAAAAGGCAAAGAACCCTAACTGATGCCAAAACATAATGGTTTTTCCCATCCTTCTCTTGTAAACATTCTCTATAGCCCTCTTGAAGTCCTCAAGGACCTCAAGCTCAAGGGAGGATAGTCAGACCTCAGGCAGGCCAAGAGCCCAAAAGTGGGGTAGGAATAAAAAATTGTGGTTAGTCCTCAGTGGTATAATAGGATGGTAAGTAAAAACTGATCTCAAGAGGGTAACTAAATGTCCGAGTGGAAGTGTGCAGGCTTCTCTGTGCAACCCCTGGGAAATAACTAGCTATTTTCAAAATGTAAATAAAGGAGGCACAGAAGAAAGTAGTGAAGAGATTAGGGGCATGGCCTTCACTTGACAGCTAAATTTTTCTAAGCATCCAGACAAGAGGTGACCACAGTAAGGGACAGAGCCCAGAGCTCTGGATGACACCCAGTGGGGTAAGTGTGTTCCAGGGAAGGAGCAAAAGTCATTGGAAGCAGTCTCCAAGTTTCAGAAACTACATTTGTTTTGAGGTTCATCCAGGACTTTCCTTGACAGGTCTAGTGAAAAGTACAGAATATAAGTTGAATGTAAATTGTACTGAATTGAGTCAAAGAAGAGAAATATCAGGGTAGAAGGCTTGGCTACATAGTACTCTCCTTTAGAATAGGAACAAAAAGTCCAGGAATCCTAACATTTTACCTTCTGTGTGTGTACACACATTTACAAACATTTAATATACGAAACAACTCTAAAGCAGCTATTCCATCCATGTCACAGACCTGGAAACAGAATTAAAAAGATTGTTATCTAAAGTCATAGAAGCAAGACAGACTTAGAGCCAGAAATAGTTTAGTATTTGAACCTAAGTTAGTCATGCTCATGTGACCATAACAAAATGTTCCTTTCAGAATCCTTGGACCCACTATTAGCATGTCTGTCCCAGAATTAGCAGGCATGTCACCAGTGTCCAGTTAAAACCTGTGGCTCAGCTGGTAGGGCGCTGGCCCCGTATGCCAAGGGTGGGTTTAAACCCAGCCCCTGCCAAACTGCAACAAAAAAATAGCTGGGCGTTGTGGCAGGCACCTGTAATCCCAGCCACCTGGGAGACTGAGGCAAAAGAATCGCCTAAGCCCAGGAGTTAGAGGTTGCTGTGAGCTGTGTGATGCCTTGGTACTCTACCAAGGGTGATAAAGTAAAAAAAAAGAAAAAATGCTCTTACATGGGCTGACACAAATTATTTCTAGGGAATGCTGTAGGTTAAGTGACACAATTGTGGTAACGCAACTTAGTTCAGTCTGCCACTTGAGATGCTAATTGTCAACTTGGTGGATATCAGTTTTATACATATGTCCCAGCCTAAAACTCAGTTATCATTTCATTGGCTAAAGTGGTTTTAATACAAATCAAAGTTATAAATAATAGGTTTAAGGTCATTTTCTGGGTGCCAATTCTTTCATGATCAGTAACCACTATCTTGATTTACCGATGTTGCGTTATTAAGCTCCTTCCTGCTTTAGAACGTTGATCCATCACTGTATCTCTAGAGAACACGTCATCCATTCTCCCTGTTACACATAAAATTGTGTAACAACCAGTGCTCTGCTTGGAGCCCTGTCCCATATATATAATTCCTGTACTTTTCAGGCATCCTCTAAGAAGTTTCATGGAACAGAAAAACATAAGGAAATTATTCCCTTTTGTAGAATTTAATTTTTGGTCTGCTTCAATATTAAATGGCAAGGATTCAGGGAAAGGCAGCTGCTTTTTGTTCTTGTACTTATGAGGTTTGATGATTAAGTTTGAAAACTGATTCTGAAAAGTGTTAGAAACCTCACTGAAGGAGACTGTAGAGATAATCAGCAAAGTACTCCCCTTGCAAAGCTACACACCAATGGCAGCACCTAGTCCATCTTTCAAAGCAGTTTTGGAACTCTTTCTGGGATGGCCATCAGAGCTGTTGTATGAAGGACTGAAACCTTAAGTTCGCAAACTTGCCACTGTGCACTTACATTGGCAGCACTATACAAACAACTCAGGTTTCACAACTATTTGAGTGTCTCACAGCTGTGTTCGTGTCAAAATGTGGCAATGTCTTGCTGAGTGGCATTCGTTATTAGAAGTTTTTATGTGATGTACAACAAGAGTTCTGATCCTTCCAGAAAGAGTTCCAGAATTGCTTTGAAAGGTGGACTAGGTGCTGGCTTCAGTGTATAGGTTCCCAAGGGGAGTACTTTGAAGGTGACTATAGTGATATGCAATGGTTGGGTATGTAGCACTTTTTCTGGGATGGGTTCCTAAACTTGTCAGACCTCATATGCTTTGCAATACTCTCCTCACTTTACATCTGAAAAAGTGGCTTCAAGAAGTTACACAATTTACCCTGGGTAAGATAAAATTCTGAACTGGGAAACCTGGCTGGCTTGTCAGATGGCAAAGCTGGTAGGTACCCCGAGCACTGTGTGGTGCTATCTCCCAGGACCTCTTTCCTTAACTCATCTGATAAGATCTGGAGCAAACTAACATATGGACCTGGACAAATGATTTTACATGTGTTATCACTTATCTGCATTTTGAAGAATACAGATTCTTACAGAATTACTGAAGAATCAGCGAAAGTTAATGTTAAAAAAAAAAAAAAACTTGTGAACTTTTAAATCTCTCAATTTTCCTGTTTCCATTCAGTTTACCTAGACAATGGCTGGCCAAGGAAGAATCTAACTCAAAAAAACTTTGAACTGTGTTAGAACGTGAATTAGGAAAATAAGGAACCCTTGAAGCTATACAATGACATTTCTTAACACTTTTTCTGTGGAAATGTAATGCTTTGGAAATGTAATTTCTATTTCTATTTTGCATAAAAATATAAAATGTGTGGTTTTTTTGAAACAATTTGTGGAAATGTGGTATCTATCTCTTTTCTTGCCCACCTCCTTTGGCATAGACTATCACAGAAGGCATTAGAGGAGTGATCTAGGATGGGCCTTGAAGGATGGGGAAAATGTCCCTAAGTAAAAGCCAAGGAGGTAGTGAAACTTCCCAGCAAAAACATGGCTTTGTGAAGAAAGTTACCAGACAATTGTGGGCTGTCACTTAGACTTGCTGACTTTGCTCAATATCTAAGATCAGGAAGGCAATCCTGAGACAGGGCTCACAAGCTGTGTCCTTCCCTGAGGATGGGACAGCAGGAGTCCTTGCTAAGTTCCTTAGCACAGGCACTTGTCCGCTCCTTGTTTGTCTGTCCTACAAGGTACTTATAAGCAATGGCCAGTGCTTTAGTGCTAATCCCTTTGTCTTCTCAAACTAGAGACCAGGAAGGATGTGGTCAGTAAGAAGGGTTTTGCTGTGTTATCACTCCACTCTTTTAAACCCCCTTATTAGATGGACAAAATGTCTAGTAACATCTTCTCAAAAGATACAGCTCTTCTTTACTTATATCATAAGTGATGCCCAGATTCTCACCAGGAAAATTTAGTACAATATTTCCTTAGGGTAAACTTTTCTCATGGAATTTTCTGTTTATTGTCCTGTTTAGCCATAAAGTCTGAGTAACCTTAAATAATCTTTTTTTCGAGAAATTAGGTTTTGTAACAAATATCTTTGCAGAATTCAATTAGATTTGACAATCTGAACAAACCAGTGTTAAACTCCTTTGGAGAAAAGGGAATTGTCTTTCACTAATGTATTTTCCTTAGTAAATTGTCTGCTTCTCTGTCTTTTAATCAGGTTTTAACAACTTATAAGCTTATGTGTAAGTCACCTGGTCACATTGTAAAGCCAGAATATACAAAAGGAAGAAAACTAAAAGCACCCATATTCCCACTCACTAACAAAGGTTTGGTGCAACTGTCCCTAGACACTTTTCTATTTTAGGGTATTTTTCTATATCTCACACACTCTTTAATTAAATTAAATCTGTTTAATCCGCCTTCTGCTATTCCCTCACTATAATATAAACATTATGCCAGGAAAATCTCTAAAAACATCATCAATATAATCTGATTCATTAAATGCATACACTAAAATTTAAACAATGCTTTATCTTTTAACACACATTACTCCAACTTTTGCTGATTTTATACTAATGAAAATACCCAACCCCTGTATGTTAATGTTGCTATGACCATTGATGAGAAGCATATGCAGGTACCAGGCTAAACACACTACATGGATTTACATGTAAACATTACATTGAACAACTCTGTATTTTACATTTCCTTTAATTTCACAAAATAAAATGAATAAAAAGGGAATGCATATTTGGAGGAATTTCTACCGTGCAGTCAGGCAATGTAGCAGTAAAAATCATAAGCATGCCTGTCCTGCACATAATGGTGGGCATCGTCATAGATTACTAGTTTTGTAAAATATGTAATATGTTAATTTTCAAGTTGGCATTTGGAATTCTTTATCCTAGGTGCCATCAGTTGCCAGGATGGATAGAATCTAGTCAACGGTTTCCCAATACAGCATCTATCACAAAAGCAAGCTCAAACTAAGAGTTCCTAGTATTCCAAACATGTTCACCTCTAACAATGCCTGCTCTGTGCCTTCCTCCTTCCGGCTCACTGGCATCCCAGGACTAGAGTCCCTGCACATCTGGCTCTCCATCCCCTTTGGCTCCATGTACCTGGTGGCTGTGATGGGAAATGTGACCATCCTGGTGGTGGTAAAGATGGAACGTAGCCTGCATCAGCCCATGTACTTCTTCCTGTGCATGCTGGCTGTCATTGACTTGGTTCTGTCAACCACAACTATGCCCAAACTTCTGGCCATATTCTGGTTTGGTGCTCGCAACATTGGTGTGGATGCCTGCTTGGCCCAGATGTTCTTTATCCATTGCTTTGCCACTGTTGAATCAGGCATCTTCCTTGCTATGGCTTTTGATCGCTATGTGGCCATCTGCGACCCACTACACCATACCCTGGTGCTCACTCATGCTGTGGTGGGTCGTTTGGGGCTGGCTGCCCTCCTCCGTGGAGTTCTCTACATTGGACCTCTGCCCCTAATGATCCGCCTGAGGCTGCCCCTTTATCAGACCAAAACCATTGCCCACTCCTACTGTGAACACATGGCTGTGGTCACCCTGGCATGTGGTGACACAAGGATCAATGACTTATATGGAATGGGGATTGGCTTCCTGGTATTAATCCTGGATTCATTGGCCATTGCTGCCTCTTATGTGATGATTTTTAGGGCTGTAATGGGGCTTTCTACCCCTGAAGCCAGGCTTAAAACACTAGGGACATGTGGTTCTCACATCTGTGCCATCCTCATCTTCTATATCCCCATTGCTGTCTCCTCACTCACTCACCGCTTTGGCCATGGTGTACCTCCCCACATCCATATTCTTTTGGCCAACCTTTACCTCCTCATCCCACCCATCCTCAACCCGGTTGTCTATGCTGTTCGCACCAGACAGATCCGCGAGAGACTTCTCTATATTTTTAAGGCAGGGGCTCAACACAGGTGACTTCTATGTCCATCAGACATATACATTTGTGTGTGTGTGTGTGATAACAGGATAAGGCTGACTGGGAAAGCCCATGAAATTTCTGGGTCATACCTTAACTGTGGGGATAAGGGTTAGCAATCCCTCAGTCTATTCTGATAATTGTGTTTATGCTGCATAGAAAATCTATATCTTAAAGTGGAAAGGAAACTCAAGGCATGAGTGAGTCTTCACATTACAATTTCCTTTTCTCACCTATTTAATTTCACAAAATTAAGCACAATAACCATAAACACCACATAGGAAGTAAAGATCACTTTTGTCCTTTACTATTTTGGCATAAGATTTCTAGTTTCTCTTTGAAGAATATTATAAAGCACAATTTCTAGACGCATAATTTTGAAGACAGTTTATAAATGGTTAGAAAAGCTTGTCAACACAGTTGAGATTTTCCAGACCTTCACTACATTTGGCTTGTCCCAGAAAAGACCTTTTATTGAAGATGGAGAAAATATAAGAAGTGTTAGTCTAATAGGACTTGGAATGAGCCCTCAGTACCCACAGAAGTTAATATCCTCAAATCAGGGCCTTCCCCACTTATATGAACAGTGGATTTACAATACTCCACATCTCACTAATAGGGTTAACAGAGAGGAGACAGAAAGGAGATTCCATTTCAGAGACCCTGAAATGGCATATCTAGGATATGGTACATCTAGCCATGTATTTAGTGAAATGACAAAAGAAAGATAAGTGAGATTGTGAAGGAGGTTGGGTAACAAATGGGCCCAAAGTGAGAATAGATGAAGGCCTTGTAGTGGACATAATCCCTTGAAATGATTTCAAACCTCTTTGGAGAACTCCTGTTGCTACTTCTGATTTTGTGACAACTTGACTCTTATGATTTGATCATAAATTTTCCACAATGAGACCATTCTGAATAGAAACCCATAGAAACTTTGTGGTAAATTGTGTGAAAAGTAGAATGAAGCATCACTCCCGATTCTAGTGATCCTGTGTCATAGCTGTGTACATCTTAGTTCTCAAATGTTTGACTTTAAATCATTGAAATTCCTCAGTTTACAAACCGTAACTATTTATGAAGGCTAAAGAAATGACCCAGAGATTTCATGGGCTTTCCCAGTCAGCCTTACCCTTATCCTGAACTTAGAAATAAATCACTTTAGTATTTTTAAATATCAAAAGAAACAAGTAAGACAGAGCTAGAATACAAACCTCACACCATCCCAAAAGTATGGAAGACTTTGAATAGTGCAAGCTCGTTTTAAAGTTTAGCATAACCCCCAAATTTCTATTTCCCCAGAATTCTATTTCTATTTCCCCTAACTTCAGGGTTAGTTGGGCCATATCTTGTTAACCTTCATGATTTAGGGGTGAGGGGTGGTCATTTCCCCATATTGAGGTCCCTCAAGTCTAGTGCCAAAGCTGAATTCAACCAATGGAAGGGGATAGGAGGGTTTCTATTAATATAACCTTAGTGCCAAATGTAATTTGATTTTTTTAATTTAGAGTTGAGGAAAAGATACTACAGAAGCCTCAGAGTAAGAAATTTATCTCATAGAGTGATCTCCTGACCATAAGTCTGGACTAGAGAAGATGGAGATGATATTCAAATCCATTGGTAGCACAAATATTAAGGGAAATGACCAGGAACATTTGTCATGGGATAGCTTTTTGGCAAAATGTCGAAAGTCCACTTATACCACATGAAGAGATTAAAGGCTTCCAGGAAACTGCTCAGATAAGAAATTTAGCAGCAGCTGGTTTAACAATGAACTAGCTGACTTCTTTATTCCACCTGCTCAGCTTATTTCTTTATTTTTCCCTTTTGGGGGGATGTTTTACCTTGCTAAGAATGAGGTCTTCTGTCCCTATTCTCCCTGCACTGGACCACTGCATAACCTGGCCAACTATATGTTCTCACCACAGGCTTGGACTCAAGTTGAGGCCTTAAACATTCTTAGTCATTGATTAAAAGTTGTTGAGGTTGTTCAAAATGATGACCAAACATGTTATTAAACATGTAGAAACTAGCCCCAATCCTGAGCCAAATTCCTTAAATCCTAATATGAGCTGCATAACCTGACCTGCCTCTCTCAGACATACCCAGATACCAAAGATATCTCTTTGCTCACTGTCCATCTCAAGGACCTCTGTAGTGCTCCGGTAAGATCTCCTAATTTATTTAGATTGATTGCCCTGGCTTTTAGTGTTTCTGTCTTTACAATTCCAGCCAGTACCAATCTCAGGATGCTTTGGGGCAGTCTCTTGTGGGAACTCCTCTGACTCCTAGTTACAGTCACCCCAAAAATGAAGTTTGGGCAGCAGGAACAATAATAAAACTTCAAGTCTAAAGAGCTTGCATGCATTCTCATAGGTGCTATGCTCTATCAAAGAACTTAGTAAAAGGAGAGCTGCTAAAAGATATAACTTTTGAATAAAGCCAACAGTTTATAGTGTTTATTATGTGGTAATGGAGTTCATAGACTATAAAACTTCTATGTAGGACAAAATCACTACTTGAAGTTACAAGTATCACATGAAGGACGACATGATTCCTACACCAAACAGGAGAACAAATCAAATCTTACAGCCTGGAGATACTTATTTAATCTACTACACCATTATTCAATTTACTAAACAATGACAGCTTCCACAATGTATAAGCCAGTTATTGCAGAAAAAATGTCCACAAAATCTCAGTAGCAGACAACAATAAAAATCTATTTCTTGTACATTTGAAGATAGGCTGAGATGACGCTGCTGATCTCTGCTAGGTTTGCTGATGCATCGGCAGATTGGCAGGCGATTGGCTAATCCAAGCTGGGCTTGGCTGTGGGATTCTGCTTCAAACCACAAGTTGATCAGGCCATTCCACTCCACTTTTCTCTCATCTTCCTTGGACCAAAGAGTTAACCAGTCATGTTCACAAATTTCAAGCTTCTGTTTTCACACCTGCTAATACCTCATTGATGAAAGTGGAGCACATGGCCAAGCCCATAGTTAATGTGTGGAGAGGTGTACTCTGGGAGAGTGAACCATTAACAGATGAATTGCTCTGTCTCTACTAAGGAAAACCAAATGAGAATTTAGAAAGTCTCAGGGAACAGAGGCACTTTGTTTATATCACTTTCTTTCATGCTGTCCAGTGTCTAGTGAACATGTCTCAATGCCTGGAGAATTGAGGTACATGGGAACTGGCCAGAGACCCACTTAAACCATCCACCCCCATAGGTGTTTATGAAGTAAGCATTGGCACAGTAATGTGAGCCTGGAGGTGCTTTTTCAGAGATATTAAGTTTTCTTGTTTTCTTAGAATTGAGAGACTTTCTATTATTGCTGAGAAGGCAAAATGGTTACAAAACACAAAATAGAAGAACATAGTAGTATAAGTAGGCCTTCATGAAGTATATATAAGAGCTTCTTTAAAAATAGCTGAAGGAGTATTTGATTATGACAGTTTACATAAGGAAAGAAGAAAAACAGAAAAAAATGAAATCTAGTATTTTTAGGACATGAGAAAGAAATATATACTTTGTTTCCTTAAATTCTAAGGCTTGAGCTGTTGTAAGTTGGAATGCAAGATAGAGCTCACAACTCCAGCAGTCAGCTTTCCTTGGGTTATGCTGTGAAACAACTCCCAGGTCTCAGTGGTTTACTACAGAAACAACACAGTCATCCCTGTTCATGCTATATGAACACTGTGGGCCAGGACTGGCTATTGAGTCAGTCACATCTGCTCCATGTATCTGAGTCTAGGCTGAAAGAAAAATCCTGATTTGTGATATGTATGTTCTTGTGGCAGAGGATAAGAACGAGAGGTAAACTAAGCTATACAACTACATTTTAAAACCACTGATTCTTGAGACACATTTCAATACTACTCACTTGATCTTGGCCAAAAGGCCAAGAAACCAATACACATTTTGATACTACTCAAATTCCTTTATCCAATGCAAATTTCAAAGTTTAAAATTAATGGAATAAGCAAATACCTGTCCCATGAGAGAACAGGATAGTAAATATCATGAACAATCAGTCTACTACACCTATATATTTTAAATACAGTCATGTGTCACTTAATAGTGCAGATATGTTCTGAGAAATATGTTAAATGGTCTTATGTGTAAACATCAGAGAGCACTGACACAATTTTTGATGGTATAACCTGCACACCCAGGGCAAATGGTATAACCTATTGCTCAAAGGCTACAAACCTATATAAAATGTTACTGTACTGAACACTGTAGGCAATTATAACACAATGATCACTTGTGTGTCTGTCTAAACACAGGAAATGTATACTAAAATATTAAAATATTATGAGACCACTGTTACATGTGGTCCATCATGACCGAAACATTATTATGTGGCATAGGACAGTATATTCTTTTCAGAGGTCTCACCTTCAAGAGGTAAGGGTACTATTACTGTTTCCACAGTCCATAGTCCAAAGATGGTATTAAACTCTTCCATTCATTAAATAAATTACTATTTTTAGAGATAAAATACATATGTGAAAAGTTGGATATATAATATATGTTGATGTAAAGGTATTTCAGAGGACTCCTTTGCCAAATGATCAATAAAGGAATTGTCCATGTGTGGGGGTCAAAAAGTCACAAAGGGATTGACTTAATGGAAAGAATGGGTCTCCTTATAAGTGGAGCAGTCCAGCTGTAGAGGCAATAACTTTGGAAGATAGTAAGCCAAAAATAGTGGGAGAGGATAGAGTCCACCCACCAAAAAAGGTGTTTGGAGGTAACTTCAGTACTAGATAGGGTGTTGGCAGTTGAGTCACAAAATTTGTGGTTCAATTCCTCATTCATACTCTTCATGAAAAGATCACCAAAATCTTAGCTGCTTGGGCCAATCTCAGCCAATATCATACAGTCTTTCTCCTAAGTGACAATATTACTTTGGAGGGTTCTTTATGTCTTCCTTACCTGTGTGATAAGTCTGGGGAAAAGGGAAGGTCAAACCTTTTCTATCAGGCCAGATTATAGGTGAACACCTGGTCTGATCTGATTGGTCAATCTGTGACCAAAAGGCCTCCATTTTCCTTCTCACACTGGAGAATTGCCGAACAAAGACATTCTGCAATCTTTCTCTTAAGTTTTTCCTCTCCACCTCAATTCAGCCTTCACCAGTACTGAGCCAGTGGGGGAAAAAAAGAACTATACATCTACACAATCTTTCTCTGGAATAGACTGAGTACATGATCACGAATCTGCTTTGTCTTGACACCGTAGATAATGGGATTTATCATGGGTGGAAAAAGAAGATAGAAGATAGCAAGGAGTATGTGAACATGAGGGGCAGCACGGCGGGCTACACGGTGCATGACTGAAGAGATGACAACAGGTGTGTAGGTGGACAGGATGGCACCTATGTGAGACACACATGTCCCAGATGCCTTGTAGCGGGCTTCATGAGAAGAAAGCTGTAAAACTGCCCGAAGGATAAAGATATAGGACAGGATAACAAAGAGCAGATCCAACACCACAATAAACATGGCCACAGCGATGCCATAGATATTGTTGAAGCGCGTGTCCCCACATGCCAGTCTCACCACCGCCATGTGTTCACAATAGCAATGGGCAATGACTGGGCCTCGGCAGTAGTGGAAGCGTCTCAGCAGAAAGGGGAGTGGAGTCATCAGTATCACAGCCCTGGCCACAGCAGCCATGCCAATCTTGTTGATAAGGGCCCCAGTCAGGATTGTGGTATAGTACAGAGGCTTGCAGATGGCCACATAGCGGTCAAAGGCCATGGCCAGCAGTACTGCTGACTCCATGATGGAGAAGGAGTGAAGAAAGAACATCTGGACCAGACAAGCATAGAAATTGATTTCTTGATCTCTGAACCAGAAAATAGCAAGCATTTTGGGCAGTGTTGTAGAAGAGAGGACTAGGTCAATGGTTGCCAACATGGCCAAAAATAGGTACATGGGCTCATGAAGAGCTACATCAGCCCAGATGATGCAGAGAAGGGTGCAGTTTCCCAGCAGGGCCAGAGTATAGGCCAAACAGAAGGGGATAGAGATCCAGATGTGCAAGTGCTCCAAACCAGGAATTCCTACCAACAAGAAGGCAGCTGGGTGGGTTGAGGTAGTATTGGAGGTTGACATGGCTCCTAGAAATTCTCTTGTCAATTTTTGCAGAGCCTCTTCACCTTCTATATGGTTTCTACAGTATACTACATATGATTAGAGTTTACCCTCTGATATCCCATCTGTAAGGATTAGCTCTTGTTCACAATTCTAGATCTTAAATAAGCTGGTAACCTTCATAGACATAGAGAAGCATAATCCATGTTTCCTACCCTAAAGGAACTTTAGATTTTCATTGTTGACAATATTAAATATCCATTGAATTGATATCACATGACAACTTTCATAAAGGAATGGAGAATAGGTAGTAGTTTCTGTGTTCTTGATAATGTCAGGAATACCTTGGGGGAAAAAAATGTTTAAATCAACTCACTTTTTATCACACACTTTGGTATAATTTCTGCCTTCTAGGTAAGCTAAACTCTCAAACACAAAAGCCAACTTCTCTCTTGAAATCTCAGACTAGAATTAATACATGAGTTAAATCTTATAACTTCTAATGCCCTATTAACCACATAATCTGTATGTGAGAATCTCTCTAGAACTATTCTATATGATATGGTTGCTACTAGCCATATATCACTATGTAAATTTAAATTTATATTTAATAAAATGAAATTTAAAACTCATGATTAATGAACACTTGAATATATCTTATGTGTAATTAGTTGCTACCAAGAATATTTCATCATTGTAAAAAGTTTTTTTAAAGAGTATTTTTACAATATAGCTTTCAAAGCCTTTCAATACCCACAAATCTCTGTAAATACGGCATTGCCTCTAGCTTACTGATAAAACAAAGAGCCTTTTTTGTTCCTCCTTGAAAGTGATGTTAAATTCCCTATTCATGTGGCTTTCTCTCCACCTGTCTACTAGCTTCTTCATTTTTGTCACAGAACTCCCTCTAATCTCTAGCAAAACTAACTTCTGATTCCCATTATAGCTACACTTTATTGTTAATAATGTTTCTCCTTTTCATCTTCTCCACCATTTTTTCCTTTTTTCTCAGACCCTTAAATACTGGAATTCCCAGTTTTTACAGAGACCCTCTTCTATTCTTCATAAGAACCTCATTAAGTGGACTTTATAAAGATTAAATGAGATTAGGCATTTATATTTACCACAATCACCAAACAGAGCACTGAAGAAAAACTACCTTTTTTTAAAGTAAGAAAATTATTTTAGAAATGTAATATCTTTAAGATATTATAGTTAAAGGTATCAGACAGCTGTGTTTTTTACTTGTCACCATTTCCAAACCCTAAATAATTAGGCTTTTGCTTTAGCCTAGATGACCAATAGATAGCACACATCTAGCACAACCAAACTGAAAATAAACTGACTTCATTCCTTAAGATATGAGCAAATTCTAGAAGCTGAAGGTCTTGGGTAATCTAGTACAGACCTGGAACAAATCACTTATCTCCTAGCTCCTGTTCCCTTCTGTAAATGGAGACTAGCACTGCCCTATTTCTACCTGAGGGAGAGGTTAAGTGAGATTATGCATAAAATCCTTTTGCATAATTCTTTAGTGTTTAGCTTCTCATTTCACAGTCCTGCTCCTGCCCTACTTCTAAGTATTGAATTTCTTCAGTCCTTAAGTTTGATCTCTTCACATTTTGTATAAATGTGACATTCTAAAATATAAACTAGGCTGGGCATGGTGGCTGACACCTGCAATCCTTGCACTCTGGGAGGCTGAGGTGGGTGGGTTGCTTGAGCTCACGAGTTCAAGACCAGCCTGAACAAAAGCAAGACCCCCATCTCTACTAAAAATAGAATAACTGAGGCAGGAGGATCGCTTAAGCCCTAAGAGTTGGAGGTTGCTGTGAGCTATGATGCCACAGCATTCTACACAGGGTGACAGCTTGAGACTCTGTCTCAAAAAAAAAAAATATATATATATATATGTATATATATATAAACTAAATTTAAGGAGAAATATTTGATTTTTTTTACTGAATAGGTTAAAGAAAAATCCATGAACAAAATAGACTGATTCCTCAGTAGAACAAGTTTGCTAAAGGTTGTAGATAGATAATAAAATGGCATCATGAATAAGATAAAGTGTTATACAATACATTCACTGTCAGGATTAAAAAAATATGAAGAATAGGGTAATGAGTAGGGAAAGCAGGATAAGTTAAATTTTTAAATAGATCACTCTGGGGGTCATTGGAAAGGGAATTTGAGCAAAAATTGGGTAAAGTGAGGAAATACCTACCTTGGTTCTTTAAAAAGTGGAACTGAGGATTCCATGCAAGTATATAGAAATTATACCAGTGAACAGGAACAAGCTGAAAGAGTGAAATAAGAAAGCAGAAAAATGGGTATACAGCTGCATTACTGATCTGGATAATGCTATCACTGTGTCCAATTCCATACAATGACTCATGTAGAAGGAACCTCAGAATTGTCCACTGTAGGCAAAGAAAGGGGGAATTTTTATACACTGGTTTCCACACCCCAAAGGTTATGGGTTGATCCAAAGAGTGTTAGTTTTCTCATTGCTATGTTCACATATGCACCAGAATAGCTGAAAAAGATCTTTGAAGTGCCCATGTAATATAGCAGAAAAATCCTGGGGCAGGATGCAGCTGATATAGGGCCTCTATACATTGAATAAACTCAGTTTATACTGTCATCAGTTTGGTACCCTATGCCTTCCTTTATCTTAAAAAGATATGAAAAGAATGGGAAGAATAAAGAACCAGGCATGAAAAGGTGGTCCCTTCATAAGGTGATTCAAGACTGCAATCCTTGTAGAAGAACATCACAGAAATGTATTTCTATCCTTTACCTGACACCTTTCTAGTTCAGGCCTCATTTTTCCCCTCCTGACTAATATAAAAGCCTTCCAGTTGCAGTAGGCACACTGGTTTGGTTGAGGGAAAGCAATGACAGTGAGAAGTGATAGGATTCCAGCTGGAGTAATCAGCTAACACTTCCCTGGACATGGCCTAGGGTGACTGGCAGAGAAAGTAGGCAGGCATGCTTGGTGGGGACAAGTAGGTGTGGAATTGATGCAGGATTTGGTAGGTGGGACCATCAAAATTTCTCCCCCAATTGAAGCCCAATGACAGAGGCCATATGAGGTTTGGAAGGAGAGCAAGGAGCTGATCTCTAAGATGAAAACTGGCTATGGGAAGTAGCTGAGGGTGCCCACCTTCCCACTCACCACACTGTGTTACTTTCCTCCTGTTTCCCTGAGTCCTGGCTCTGTCCACAGTCCTCAATCTGTGGAGTACAATTCTGGCCCCTACTGTGAGTTTCATGCAATCCCAGTGCAGCCTTCCTCTCCTATAAGAGAGGTCTGGGAAGGAAGGACACAGGAAGATTGTAGCTGGCTTTATACTCACAAACCTCTGCCCTTCTCCCAAAAGCACATGGAAGCAGAGATTACTTCACACTTGAGGAGAGTCCTTGGGGACCCTGGAATGCTCTGGCTGCATCTCTTGGGGCAATACAAGGAGCCTTCCCTCACCCAGGGATTTTATCCCAAGGGTTCTGATAGGCCATGCCCCCCTTGTTTTGTGGCACTAAGTCCCACTGCTCAGGGGTCATGCTATATGTTCAGAGGCTGTTTGGTCTTTACTGTGTCTCTGCTACACTCACTATGGCCCTCATGGTGTCCTTTAAGATAAACAGCCTCATTGCAACATACAGGCTGCAGCCCACTGCTGCTTGAGTGTGTCTTACAAAGGAAGAAATTTCAGCCAAACCAGGCTAAGATCATCCATTAAGTGTTTTTGTTTGCATTTGTCTTACCTGGTGGCCTGAGCCATGCATTAATATCTACCTTGATATGACACTTCTCTAATCCCTAAACTGTTTTTCTTATTTCTAACCTGGAGGTGATTTTCACAACTTTTCCTAACTCATAGCTTTATTAGGAATATCTAAGTATATAATTGAGAGTCCTACATGAATGTGATTATAGATTCTTGATAGTTAGCAATAATAAGTAAATAATAAAGGTGATCTTTCACCCACAGCTGGCTTTAATGTTTGCTATTTTTCTAGGACCTGAGAGGAGGCTTTCACCAGGGTTCCTTGTGGATTTTGCCTGCCCTTAATTCCCAATGATACTATTAAAAAGTGACCTCATAGCCCTGTGGCCCCATCCCATTTCCTTCCCACAGAGATGTCCTGAACCTAAGATTACCTTCCCTAACTATTGGCCCTCAGGGGAGGCACTCGGCCCTCCTTCATGGTGAGGCTGATTTGCTGGGAAGCTGGGATGAAGTGGAATTCCTATACAGTGCCTTTAAATGTGCAGCCTGAATTAACCATGACACACCAAAAAAAAAAAAATGGTCTACACAGAAAGCACCTCATCAAAACCTCAAGTGGTAAAAGTTGGTATCAGAGGCAAAAACAAACAAGACAGAGAAAACCAGCCTTGGATGGAAGGGAAGATCATGATGGAACAGAGGACATGCTGGTTAAGGTAGATATGTCCTGCTGACAGTAAAATGGGTTCTAGGGTTATGGTCAGGGAGGCTGAGGTGGTAGGGACTTAGTGAGTGACTATAGCTTAGAGTCAAACTATCGGGACAGGAACTAGATAAGCAGCAGGAATTTAGGCTAATTATTTTGCCCCCTGACAACTCTTGAGGGGATACCCCTGATGTCATGGGAACAGGGATGAAGGTACTGAGAGTAAGCAGTGCCCATGGTCCAGAGAACTGTGTGGAGACATTAGAGCACTTCAGCTGCCTCTAATTCCTTGTACCTCCCCCTCTACCACTGTCATTTTCTTTTGTACCGTCAATATTCTATATTTATCTACATATTTGCTTTTCCTGGTATTATTCATTCCCTACTGTATTTTCATGTTTCCATCTGGATAACACTTTTTCTTACTAAAAGTAATTTTAATTTTGTCTTTATTGAAGGCCTAACAATGACACTCCTATCATTTTTTGCTTATTAGTAAAATTATTTCAGTTATCCTTACTGGCAAAAGATATTTTCCTTGAATTTCCATTTCAGTAGGTCCTTCAATTGTATTCTGTGTTCACTTGTTTTTGC